TACTGCTATTATTGCTGCTCACATGCTGCTTATTGTATCATAGAGATCATCTGGTTACAGCCTAGTTGTACTCTTAATTAGCCAACCTAGAAGTCTGCCAAGTTTGAAAAAAAACCAAAAGAATTTAACTGAGAAGTGAGACATTAACTATTTGAGAGATAATATAATGTATAAACTTGGTGGTCTTATTCAGGAGTTTAACCTTTTTCTCACTGAAACATCCTTTTCAAATTAAGTGTTACAAAAAAGAGAACCCAAAAGTTGGGAGAAAAAAAAGAGTGCCTGCCCTGTGAGACCTTAGGCCTGGATTTTCTTCTTCAAAAATCTTTCTTTGGGGCTTAGGTTTCAAAGTCTGCTCCAGATAAATGACAAGAAAGATTGGCTTGGTAACTCTGGCACTAGCTTGCAAATAGGATCTCAGCCCCTTTTTCAGCCTCAGGTTTTTCCATATGGCCACAGGGAAATCATGTGGACATTTACCTGAGAGCTCTGTCCCTACAGAGCCCTTCCCTGCAGGACTGAGTGTAGATTTCAATTTGCTGCTGACCTCTAAACGACTGTAAAACTGTAACTTGGCCACATTGCAAGTACTCCCACTAATTTTATACTTCCTGGGGCTTATCTATTATGCAAAACCAGTCAGGTCTCACAAGCTGGAAGCTGTGTAGAAGAGCAGCTTTTATCACAGCCCGGTACTATACATGTTGTAGCCTTTGTTTTGACATCAGCTCAATTGTGTCCTGTTTAGATAATTGACCAGAGAAGAACTACAAACATTTCCAGGCTAGATAAGTTATCCATCTTATGGAAGAATCTGACAGAAAAGACCAAGGAGGGAGGGCATTTTGCTTTGTTTGTCCAGATAAGCTGATTTGTAAAATATGCAACTCTCACACGTTTTTTAGAGTAACACACAGCTGTGGGACAGTTGTAAAACTCCATATAACATTATAAAACCATTACAATGTACTATTTGAAATGTGCGTATAGATTTAAAAAGTAATAATTTGCTTCATTCTAGTTAGCCTCTATTAAACTAGATTCATTAGCTCCCACACACAACAGCTGGGTCTTCAAAATGTCAGGTAGCTGACAAGGGGGCATGATAAGAATCCACAAGTGTTTCAGGAGTATAAATATCAAAGCAGGAGATTCTCCAGTCAGGATGGAAAAGGGTAAGTACCAATTAGTTTTGTTCCAACTATTGACAGGAGCACATCCTAACAGCCTGGTTGAACTTCTTGGAGGAAGAAACAGCCAGCCATTAAGTGGCTCACACCAGGGTATATTTGAGACCTCATTTCTAAATCAGACAGGATTCTTAGAGCGGATAAGTTACAGAAATTGATGCTGAGCCAGGAGAGCAAAGGGAATACAAAGATAGTAACAGACTCCAGAGATCCTGGGAGGAAAAAAGGTGTTCAGGGCCAAAAGGAGGAAGAAGAGCAGGGCAGGAGAATCGAGTGCTCTAGGAACTTTAACAAACAAGGTGGGATTTGATTGATTGCTTTCATAGACTTAAGTTCCTTGTCTCCTAAAATCTCTCCTGCCATTACAACCTCAGGTTCTCTTCCAAGGCCCACTGTTTATAGGGCACATGCTCTGCTCAATCAAAAATCTTTGAGCCCACTCCATGGGGCTGGGGGCTCGCAGTGCTGTGGAAGGGCTGCACCCACCTGCCTCTGCCTCAGCACAGGCATTTCATTACATGCTTTGTCCTCTGTACAGCTGCACTTTTTCACAGACCTTATTTATCTGGAGATTTCAGCTCATCTTTCAAATCTGCTTGAAACCCAGTCCCAAAGTTTTTCGGGGGCATTGCTGAATGTACAGAGAGATAAACAACACAATCTCACAAAGCTAACTTCAAAGGCAACAAGGCTAAAAAACACTAGGTTTTAATTTCTGACCCTGCTCATGCTAAATGTTGTCTAACACTTTGGCAGCAATATGTGGCCCTGAGGTCTTCCTTCAATATCCTACCAAGAATATAAAATAAATCCTGATAAATGTAGTCAGTATAAAATAAAGTGAGTTGAAATTGGTTGCTGGGATGCAAAACTGAAGCTGACAGGCAGTTGTGAGGAAACTTGCAAGAAAATGCTTATTTTATGTATTTTTTTGGGGCTTAGCAGCTTGGAGCTGTCAAGATGGTTTTGCACATGCTCGGCAGCGAAAACAAGGGAACTGAGTGATTTTACCAGTAGAAAATGTAAATTCCTACTGCATTAAGCAAAGCTTCAAGATTAGAAGTGCTATTAATGCCTATAACTTGAATAAAGTTACTTTAGTATGTATTTAGGGGCCTAAGTTTTCCTTGTAAAACTACATTTGAATTTCTTTAGTATCCTGTTGTGATAATTTTGCCAAGAGCTTGTGGAAATCTCTATAAAATAAACTATAAAAATATAATATTAATATAATATATAACAACCATATAAATATATAATATAAAAATATAATATAAAATCTATATAAAGTAAAATATATTAGTAAATTTACCTCCATCCACAGCTCTATCAAACTGTTCAGATACCAGTAAGTGATTCATGAGATTTTTTAACTCTAGAAATTAAAATGGACCACCTCATGAAACTATCTTTGAAGTGCTGTCTCATTTTATTTTTAACTTCAAATTATTATCTGATAAATAATTCTCTGTATTAATAATTCCTTGTATTACCTTATAGACATATAGGATCAATATGTTACCCATTGATTCTTTTAATGGCAAATGCTTAGAGTGAGAGTCTAGAAGCTGGTGTGCATCCTAGAGGAGCTATGCTGTTTCATTTTTAGGTCCTCCAGAAATCCTCAGAACATACCTTATGAGACTTGCACCTTAGTATTTTTTTCTGATCCCTTCAACTCCAACAACTATGTTCTAATTCTAAAGAATGCTAAGAAAATAAATAATTTATCTTTAAAAAATACGAGACAAACTCAGGATAAATGCATGCAAGATGAGAAGCTCTGATATTAAGTGGCACAACTGATTTGAACCAAGACATTATGGAGCCTTTCTCCTTACAACCAACATTAAAATAACATTAGCTAGTAAGAACAAATACATTAAAAAAAAAAGTCAAAAAATAAATCAAAGTAGGTATAATAGGATGATGTTAGTCTCAAGTTTGCTTCAAGACATCCTGTCTCTTCTGGCTACACTTTTTAAGTGTTACCCTGCTCACTCAAGAGCAGTCACACATAGTGGAAATGAATACAAGCTAAAGAGTTCTGAGTTCCCAAATCCCAATGGCCATTTTTTGCAAAAAGTAAAGAATTGTATGATAAATGAACAGGATTCCTCTGGATTCAGTAACTCAGCCCTGTGTGAAGGATTGGGATAAGCCTGATGCACGGTTAATTCATCAATGCCATGCTAAGTTCACTCAAACTGATACTTGCAGCCCCAGAGGACTCAGGCTCAGTCAGTGCTCCCAAAGGAGCAGGTGCCCAACCACCTTCGTGCATCATCACCTTGGCACCATCCCTCTTGCTTCCTGGAAGGAGAAATGGTGCAGAAAATAGATGTGATGGGCTCTGATCTTTGGAAGACACACAAATAGCTCAGCATTAGGCAATCAGATAGCAATGAGAATATAATAAAATCATAACACATAAACCATGGATATTCTACTTGCAGGCCTCTATCTAGGCAAGTATTTTCAAACATTCATGTTAAATCTCCTTCTTGTTGCTGATGGTGGGGATATTTCATTAGGCTTCTTCAAAATTCTGATGATTGCAGCAGCATCCCTAAAACACTTGCTCCCTAGCTGCATCTCAAAATAGTCTGATTAATCAACCTTACTCATGAGTGATGAAGTTTGTTATTACATGCAACTTTTGAGTTCATATCTAATTTTAATAATTGTAAGATCAGGGCAAGTACAGAACAAACTGGATTTTCCCTGAGAAAACAGATACACCCAATGCAATGGCATGATGCCTTTTTCAAAATGAGCTCTCAACAACTCAAGAATTTGCACACTTTTACAATGTCCCTAACGTACTTGAATGCTACAATGAAAGGAAATAAATGAGATTCAGGACCTATGCATAGATAGAAACTTGCATATATGTGTGTGACAGCCTCACCACCCAGAGCTCTCAAACCTTCTTTCAGCTATTGGGGTATTGGAAGATATTGCAGCCAATTCCTGATGTTTTCCCCCATCTCATACACTGAGGGTCAGAAATAAAGTTCTGTAGAGTAAATCCAGCTCTTAGTGGCCTCTCTGCCAACTCACAGTCTTTCACAAGTTTCAGGAGCTTTTTCTAAACAAGGAAGACTAGCATGTAGCTTCCTTTCTCAGAAAGGTCAGTAGGAAGCAAAGAGCAGTGCTGATTTATCTTCATCACTTGGTGACAGGTTCTGTGAAGGCAGTTGTTATTTTACACTATTTTTTTTTTTTCAGAATCAGGGAATGTGGTAACCTACAATTTATCATTTCTATGCCATTTATTTGTTGGGTATCCTGTCCTCCTTGGGTACTTACCACTATTGAAAAGATGTTTGCAAACATTTTAAAATAATTTTGGTGGAAAGTATCTTCACATTGTACTGACAGGTGAATTGGAGGAATGACCTTCAGGGACACTTCCAACCATGCACTAACTCTCTAATATATATACACCTAAATCCATCCATATACAAAATCATTTAAGGATTTGAATCCAAGGTAAAGTATTACTTATTCAGGACTCATTGGACTGTTGATTCTTTGGCTAGATTTGTAATTTCTATAAAAAACTAGACTACAAACAGATGAGGAGACTGCAGAATGTTTGATGAGGCAGAGAGAAAGGCCTTGGGAGATCCAGCAGCTCCCACTACTTTCCACTCAGTGATGGAAAATAGTAGCCTTATCCACAATTCATGTTTTATCACTGGCACCAGACAGAGAGTCAGAATCTGACTCATTTTAGAACACTGGGGATGGGGGAGGGAACAAATAATAACAGAATACTCTAAATGCATGCTTCCTTCACTTAAGTCTTTCAGGTGGGTCAACCTACAAGAGTGTCCTGAGGACGAAGAGTATCCATTGATCCAAAAGCACAATCAGACTACAAAGGAGGTGAACAAAAGATCTTATTCCCTTCTGCAAAGCTTGAAGTTTGGCTTGCAAATCACAGGCAGTGACTGAGGAAAAAAATAAAAATATGTAAAATATATACCTAAAAATGTCAATAAATATTTTATTCCAGAAAGGCTGTAATAACTGAAGGATCTTACTTTTGCTAAGTGGGAGAAAGAAACTCAAAACCCAACAGAAGCACACAAAGGCTACATAAAAATACACCCATATGCATATGATCATGTAGCCTGAGAATCAGCCCAGAAAGGTATATAACAAAATCACAACAGTCAGGATTTTAAGCAAGCAGCTTTTGGAAATGTAGCCCTTAACAGTAGGAGAGCACACAACAGAGCTGCCAGCTCTTCTTTTCTTCCCTCTGCAGGCCATAAATCTGCAGAATCATCTCCTGGTCTCTGGGGAAATGCCCTTTGCCTGGCTGCCTTTGCTCATTATCCTGTTCCCAGGAAAAAAAAAAAAAAAACCAACAAACCCAAAACCAACACAAACACCAACCAACAGTAACTCAGAACATCTCCATATTCTAGCAGCAGCCTGTTAGCACCAAGAGGCACCACCACGGAGCCTTCCAGTCCCAACAGAATTCACTGAGCTATTCTTATGCATTTCCTGGGTTGATGTTCTGGTCTATGTGAGGGTGACCTCCAAAAATCCTGCCATCCTCTTCTAGTAGGGGGATAACCCAACCTTGTACTTGTCTACTTTTAATCAATTATGCTTAAGCACAAGAAAGAATAACTAAGCACTTGTGGAGAAAGAATGGGAAGGAAGAAGAACTAAAAGCTGTTTTAGAGGGGAAATAAAATACATCTGGAGTATTTTATTCCCCTCTCCATCCCTGGATTTCTTCCTCTCATGTAAGAAAGTAAAGTAAGAATGAGTGTAAATAAACATGCATATATGCACTTTCATATGCAAATGTTTCAAACTCTACAAATGAGTTTTTGCTGCTGGCTGCCGCCTGACAGTCTGAGATAGTGAAAGTGCAAGTCATCGAACAAAAAGCTGTGAGGAGAGCAACAGAGAAAATGCATCTGAAGAACAGCAAAGCTGCTTAAAGCCCAGGTTTTTAAGAGACTTGAGTTCCCTGGTCAAAACTGCAATAAGCAAGACAAAATAAAACATTCCACAATGGGGGGAAAGTGCAGGAAATGTAGGAATAAAAGACAGCATGCGAGTATCTGTTTAAGAGCCAGCATATGCAAAGGTGAGTAACAGCTAATTCCTTGGATCTGTTCCAAATGGCAGCGTTCATGAAATCCAGAGGAGTGGAAATGGTGTTTGGCAGAAATAGCCCACTTAAAGGGGAAAGAGTGCAGCGTCCACTGACGCACGGGGCTGAGAGCAAACAAAACTATGGTCAGTGGCAATTAGGGTTGTTGCTGGAGATGTTCCGTTCACTCCAAAACCAAAAATAATGGAAAGGACAGAATGGAAAGGCTGATGTTTTCCTTCCACAAAACTATTAACGCTGCCTACGGTATTGCAGCCTACTTCACACGGGATTCCCCTATATTTCCTGGAAATATCAAAATGCAATACACACTTGTGCTTCATTCTAATGCAGGCTCCAGTCTGGGTTCTTTATGCACTTTTAAGGACTATAATTTTTCTTGCATCAGTTAATTTTTCATCATGTTACCAGAAAATATTCAAGTACCTCAGAAAACGTATGCTCTATATTTGGGTGGTTGCCATTTCAATGAGACTTTTCTACAAAATAAGGGTTTTTAGCTTATGTTAAAAATGAACTCTGTAACATAACTTGAAACAAGATGCAGCAAATGCTGTGCCATCATACCATCTGTGTTCAAGTACAGCTCTAAAGCTCTCCTCCTATTGCTTCCTAAAGTGGAAAATAATGGTAAAAAATAAAAACATATAAGATGAAGCATCGTGTATTGGAATGCATTATGAACGTGAGCCTTACAATGTTTGTTTCAAACCCCCCCACCCCGTACCTGTGTACTCCAATGAAGCATCATTTGGAAACCAAAGAGGAGGCTTATAGCCTTCACATTTAAATTAAGCAACAGTGATGTTCTCACCTGACACAGCTAGTAAATTCTGGTGAGCTTCACTCTGCACAATATTGCCTATTTTTGCTTTTTTTAGCTCTTTTCACAAGCTTTCCAACAATATTTCATAGGAACATGAGTGAAATTCATTAAACCTTGGAGTTAATTGAAGGAACTAGAACTGATGAGAAATAATTTTTAAAATTTCCCACTGTTAATGTCTAAGATAACAGAGATTGATGGGCAAAACTTACGTGGAGCACATTATGACAAACCCCAACATCTTAGGCCACAAAAACAAACACCGCAGGTAAAATGCCACCACAGAAGAACTAACCACTCTTGATATGATATAATGAAAAAAAGCCTCGTTCTTAAGCAGTCAGCTTTGACATGAGGATCTTAAAGTAGCACCTTTCTGATACTCAGTCAAAATACAGGATCAGTGTTTTGAAGATGAAAGTGACCCCGTTCTGATCACTGTATCTCACTCAGGTCCACAGCCACTTTGTCCCTGCAGGGTGCAAGGCCACCCTGGGCAGCTGTCCTGGAACTGCCTGGAAAAGACAGAGCGAGGCGTGCAGGCAAGAGCAGGAGGCAGTGCATCTGCGGGAGAACCTGGAGATGCTGTTCTCCCTGGTACCGAACCAAGCTGCTCCCGGCCGCTCTACAGCACACATACATCCACAACTTCCCCCTGCTTCCAGAAGCAAGCACCTCACCCTTCCTACGCTACTCCCTCACTCTGCCCCACCTAGAGATTTTTATGGCTGTAGATATAAAATACAGGCCGGTCCTGCGGGGCTTGCTCCGAGCAGGGAGCCGAGCGAGCCCCGGGGATGCGGCGGGAGCCGCTGCCGCCCGTTCCGGCCGCACAGCCGGGACACAGCCCCGGGGACGTGAGCGCAGCCCGCGGGTTCCCGGGAGCTCCGCAGCGGGCGGGAGCGGGCAGACAGAGCCCGCGGGTTCCCGGGAGCTCCGCAGCGGGCGGGAGCGGGCAGACAGAGCCCGCGGGTTCCCGGGAGCTCCGCACCCGGCGGGAGCGGGCAGGCAGAGCCCGCGGGTTCCCGGGAGCTGCCGGGGTGTCCCGCAGGCACGGCAGCCTGCCGCAGCCCCCGGGAGGGAATCCCCCTCCCACTCTGGAGATGCTCCTGGCCCATGGCAGTGCCAGATACAACATGAATCTAGAAGAGAAGCTTTAGTCCTTTACAAAAAATATATTGAGGTGCTTTCTCCATCTTATTATTCTCCATTTTATTTCTAATCCTGTGAGGCAGTGCTGATCCCAGAGCCCAGGAGAAAGCAGGAGAGGTCAGGACACTGCATACTTGAGACAAGGATTCAGGCTGGGGCATGCTGTTCAGAAAGGGGACAAGTGAATGCCGACTTCCAAGACCTTTAGGAAAGAGGGTGCGTTTTTTTTCAGAAAATGAAAAAAGCATTTCCAACAACAGCAATGTTTATTAATACTCTTCCTACTCCTGTCAGCACATTCTCATCAACGTTTGGGTGGTGCTGTCCGAAATGCCCGCTTGCCTTTCCAAGGGAGAGGCTTCCAGAGGGGCAGTCCTGCCCTGAGCGGCTGAGCGCCCACCCGCCAGCCCCGGGGAGTGTCCCAGGGCCGGCCCTGCCGCCATCCCGGCCTCCCCTCCTCTCCCGCCCCTCACGTGTGGCGCTCTCGGTGCCGGATGAGGCTCCGGGGCGCGGCTCCGTGCGGAGCCGTCCCGCAGCCCCGCCTGTGCCGGGACAGTCCCGGTGTCCCCAACACCCTGGGGCTCCGCCACCCAGCCGCGCTCGGGGCTCGGCGGGGCTCACTGGCGAGACTGGGCGCTCTGGGCGGCACAAAGCCCGGAGAGCCCGCCCGGGGCGGCGGTGACATCCGCGCACACCCCACGGCCGCACGAGGAGGCGGTGCTGCCGCCCCCGCTCCGTGCCGCAGGCGCGGGCAGCGCTCCGCCGCCCCCGGGCGGGTGCGGGGTGTTTACAATGTCCCTAACATACTTNNGAGGGAGGGGGGAGCGAGGGGGGGAAGGTTCGCGCGCGCCCTCGCGCTCGGTTGCCATGGCGCCGCTTGACGTCACGGGCGGCGCGCGGCCCGCTCGGAGCGGCGCGGTGATTGGCGGAGACGCCCCGTGCGCGGCGCCGGGAGAGGGAGGGAGGGAGCGAGGCTGCAGCGCCGCGAGCGCCAGAGCCGCACAGTCCGCGCCGGCCGCCCGCCCGCACCGACGCACCCGCGCCCGCCTGCTCGCCCGTCGCGCACAGGTAACGGGGCCGCCGCCCGGGACGGCTCCCCCGGCACGCGGCAGGTCGGGAGCACCGAGCGGGGCGGCCGGGTACAGCGCCTTGCTCCCCTCGGCGCGGCTCTGCGGGGAGGGAGCGGGGCGCGGGGGCCGCTGCGCGGAGCGGCGGGGGCCTTTCTCCGCCGGCGAAAAAGGGGCAAGCAGCGGCGGAGGGGGCGGCAGGTGAGGGCGACCCCGTCCCCGCAGGGAGGGCCCATCCTCCCCGCCCCGGCCGAGGGGTCCGGGCGAGAGCGGCGGCTCCCCCGGGACTGGAGGGGGCTCCTCCTCCGCCGCTCCCCCTCCCCCTCGCCGAATCCCCCGGGAATGGACCCGCGGGCTTTCCCTATTCCGGGGCGGGGACGCGGCATCCTCCCCCGGAGGCGCTGGGCGGAGGGGAGCGGGATCGGGGCGGGCCGGGCTCCGGCGCCCACGCGGCAGCGCCCAGCCCGCGGGGGCGGCGGGCGGCCCGCCCGCCCGGGGATGCTGCCGCGGCAGCCTGCGGTGCCCCGGGGAACGGCGGCGGGGCCAGCGCTGTGGCCACATTTGCCCCAGTGGCCAGGCCCGGTGGTGGGTAACCGCCGCCTAACGCTCGCTGTAAAATGGCTCCTTCGCCCCGCCGCGCGGGCGAGTTGTTCAACGGGCGTTCGCAAACTGACGCCGGGCTTGTGCCTCCCTGCTGGGGCCCGCAGCCATTGAAACTCGCAGTCACCTGGAATGGTAGAATGCGCTTAATTTATTCCCAAACACGGAACATAGCCCTGCCATTGTTACTCCTAACGTCACCTAAAATGGCAAAAGTGGTTAAAAATGAAAATGCT